CTTTTCTAACCATGACCTTACGTAGGTTTTAGAGATGTGTCTCTTGTGCTCATCAACAAATGGGTTCAGCCGTACATAGCTACCTGTGGTTATGTAGTGTTTCTTCAGTGCACCTTTACATTTGGCAGCAGCAGCTTGAGATTGGACGTAAGATGTAGAGCATTCTAGATATGGAACATGAAGAAATGTGGAAACAAAAGACATTCTTTGAACTTTTAGACATCTGGTTAGGGATCTGCAAACTATAAGACCAACTTGACTGACACATAATTCTCAAATATTTCCCATGTGGGCAACACCTGTGGTCTTAACTATGGTAACATTAATTTCAACACTCCTCAGTCCTCCAACAAGTGAAGGATTGAGGAGGGTTAGGGTTAATTTTACAAAAAGAGATGCTACCCATTTCATTTCTAAATGTTTGTTTCTAAACTGTTTCCAAATCTGTCCAAACTGAAAAGATTAAAGTGGAGAGCAGACTGACAGTTGTTTTTTAAATGTTGGATTTGTCGTTCTCATTTTCTTTGCTATTAAAGATTTGATGAGAAAATCCTATAAGAGTTCGACAAAAAACCTCCATTTCAAAAATCTGTGAAGAAACTTGAAAAAGTGAAACACACGGCATTTAAAATTTTACAACTAAAATAAGAAACATCTCAGAGTATTTCACTGGCAGTAAAGAAACCTATGCTGAAGTCAGTCACCCTTTGAGTCAGCCGGTAAACAGCACAATTATCCACAACTGTCATATTATGCACTGCACCAACTATCCCTCATCTATCAAAGGAATATCAGATTGCACTTTTGTGCTGTCCAACAGTTCTGCCTCACTGTTTCATGTGCATCATTGTGCAGTAAACCAAATGCAGTGAAGAGGACTGCACAAAAGACCCTGGGTCATTTTGTGCCGGCTACAAACTGTGTACACATTGAACCTGTGCATGTTTGTGTTCCACATAGAAAACACATGCAAGAGAGTGACTGTGGGCATTTGTGCATATTTACGCTGTTAACCATAGGAGTGTTTAAAAAGTGAAAGGCTGCCACACATAACCTCAGACAAGGTTTCAACACCATAAATGCTGTTAAAAACTTCTTAGACAGTACTGCGCACGACATTTAAAATTTAGGGTAACACTAATTAACAGATGCCTGGGGAAATTTCACTGGAATTACAAAAAACTTGCACTTTAAAAGTGAAATGCTGCCTAACTTCAGATCGTATTTTCACATCAGGTTTTAGCACAGACATATACATGCATAGACCATCATTCTTGCGCAGGAAACAATGCACAATGTATGGGTAAACAATGGGCAAAGCGATGGATGGCAGTGCGTTCAGTGCGCATTACGTGCGATGCACCTTGTATTGCTTGGGTTGTTTACATGTGCTCTCAAAACACGTTCACTTTTGTACTCTTTGAAACTGGTGTCTCCTCTTTTCAAATGTTGCAATGCATCGTTCAGAATCTGAGTGGTCCAGATTAAGTACATAGAGGATTTCTTTTCACAATTGAAAATCGGCTTCATGGAAGTTTTGAATAGGATCTGGTGGTCTATGCGTTTACATGTCTGTGAGTTTTAGCACAGTTTTAGTTATGCCCATTACCTGGTGTCTGTGATGTACTGGGTTGATTCTCTGACATGTCACCTGATGGTTGATGAGACTGGAGCGATGCACCACCTACAATCAAATCAAACAATACAAGACAGAGACTAAGAATTGGAATTGTTCACATTTACATTAAGACTCTGTGACAAATGATGGTTGCACAGTTGCAGACATTTCTGCTTTGGTGGTGAACATTTCATGACAACAAAAATAATGCATAAAACTGAAAAAGTTGTTAAAAATCCACACCATTCCGTTATTCAAAGCTCGCTGCAAAACAATGTCAACGTGACACAACCAAGCGCTCCACATGTACATGTACAGCACACTCAAACCCAATGGTTTTTTATATCCAACTGACTTGTCTATATCATCGAGGATGGAGCAAGAGGTTGTATATTGCCAAGCAGCATGTTTAGTCCACAACACACAAAGCACGCAACAATGTTGTTATCAATCTGCATTTTATTAAGTGCAACAACGTTACACCATACAGACTTTGCAGTGTTCCCAGCTGCAAATAGCTGGAACAACGAAGAAAAAAACCTGACTATTTTATTCCTACATGTATTATTATTGTTGTCATTATGAAATATATAACAGCAGCGAACAATTCTGGTACTTTTCCAATTTTCACACAATGCAAGCATGAGTTAAGGATAATTTTTCTTGCCCTTAACTTGAGAGCAAAATGGTAAAAATTGTTCCTACTTTTAGATGTGATTGCCAATCAGCCACAAAATAGCAACGGAGACACAAAGCACATTATTTGCTTTCTTAATATCTACGTAGAAATCTGTAGAAGACTAGATTACGAACACAAATCCTTTTCTTCATTTATTCTGCATCTGGGTGACTACTCTATCTCTTCGTGTTTGTTGTCAGAATAAAACAAATGTGATCCGGAATAATATTACAACTTTTACACTTTTACTCCCAAACTGTTTGCATATCCTGGCCGGAACATACATAACCAAGCTCAGAGTGGATTCAAGCAGTTTCTGAGCTGTGGATTTTTCATTCTTCCTTCTTTTCTCAGACTTTGGGGAGCAAATTCACCGAGCCTATCACCTCTGCACGCAACCATTGAAACAAACATGAAGGAGCATAAA